TAGCGCTGTGGGGGGAAATATAAGAATAAATAAAGGATCACTGTCGTGAAGTGGTGTTCCTTATTTCCTTATTTCCTGAAGTGGTGTTCTTGAATATGTCATGCTTTTTGCAAATTTCATGCAATTCGAACAGCAACTGTTTGACTGCGTTATTCCTTTTTAACACATCCTTGCACTTTGCTATTGCTAGAAGACTCTGAAAATTTACATAGGTAAATAGGTAAATACAGTTTTAGCACACAGCAAATGCTTATATGAATTTCTTTTGCAACAATGAAGTTCTGTCCGTATTCTCAAAATAATGTCGGCCCATAGGTTTTCACATGCAATTAAAATTGCATGCAGTACAGCAATTAATACTCCCTTGTTGTAACCCGTGTTAGGTGGTATAAACCTACACATGTCATTTGTCATCATTCACTTGATGGTCAGTTAATGAATTTATAACAGGTATAATTAGTGGTAACACCACTTAGATAACCCGACAAAGGTTCCCCATTGGCATTTCTTGTGTCTGGAGTAAATACTCAACAGTATAAACATCGATCAAAGGATTAACCCATACTTTTATCTTACACAGCGGATTGGTCAAAAGGTAGTGTTTATGTATGTACATTTACTAATCAATACTAAATACACTCTGTCGTGTCTGTGTCTGCGTAAAACAACTTCCATCTTTCAAAGGATTAACCGCCAAGACATTGATTCTCATTATTGGCTAACTAAATTACTTTTTTTGTAAAGAATGGCGGAGATTATGCAATTAGTTCCCAGGTATGCTATCTTGGGTGACCAATGCGACTATATACCAATGTGAAATACCTGAAACGATATATCACTTTTCGTGAACATGTATTAGACTGTTAAAAGACACATCATTTGGAACAGCTGCAGGTGAATGACATACGGCTCGTTTTTGTGGATATTGATGGATACATTCCTCGAACAAAGTAATAGCCTGACATCATTATAACTACCTGTTTTAGTTTTAATAATTGCATTTTGTTTTTTATTCATTTGTCGCAGCATTCCACAGAATCCATGATTTCGTCGTGAAGTAATGAGACAGACAACATACACTAGGGCGTGTGTGCGAATTATGATTTACAATGTCTAGATATTCAAGTTATAAGTAAAGGCAGATCGCCTGATAATAAACTAATTCGGATTATAAGACCAAATAGAAAGACGCACGTTGACTAGTATCTACATACTGGTGAGTGGACATTAACCATGGGAATGTAGCAAGATATTTATTGCGCAGTATGTCACTTCGACCCCCACCTCGCTTCCGAGGAAGAAATCGTTATGTTATAAGTTGTGTCATGCCAAATCCTGTTGGCCATGATTCCAATACATATTTAACTACGAGTAGAAAGTAGTTTTGCTTTTCTAACTTGATGAAAACAAACCATAATCTCATTAATTCTTTAACAGACTTTAGCCCGTCATGTTACGATTATTAAAAATGGCAGGGCACTGTCGCGAACATCCGCGAGTCTGAGAATAAATGCTATTTAGGTTTGTTTTCACCGAGTTACAAAATCAAACTACTTTCTACTGGTAGTACAATATGTATTTGATTGATGTCCAATAGGATTTGCGTGACATATCTTATATCATAACAATTTCTCTCGAGGAAGCGAGGTGGGTGTCAATATAACACTACTTACAATATTATTGTCACTTCCACCACGACCTCTCTTCCGAGAAAGAAATCTTTATGCTTCAAGTTGTGTCATGGAAAATATGTTTGGTCATCAATCATATATATATTGTACTACAAGTAGTAAGTAGTTTGATTCTTTAACTTCCGCGAAGCGATCTGGACAAATTTAAGATATCGTTCCAAGCTTCCACAACGCTTGTTTCGCGCTCACAAACATAACTCATTTACTAAATGATTTAGCACGAACTGCGGGGTCCGGTGGAAATTAGTGCATGGTGACACCATCACTCGACCCCCCCAGGACGGCAACGCAACGATTGACAGCAACGCAACGATTCGTTTTGCTTTGAGTAAGTTTCGTTGTTCAGACCACCCTTTAATGTTGGAATAAGGGCGAAAAGTAAATATAAAACAACATGAGTGATTCTACCCTCTGTGTATTGTACTTACAATTGAATCAGAGTACCAATTCTTTATTGAATGTTCATTATACTGTGATCTGAGAAACAGCCTTCTCCCACAATACTACATAAATAATCCATGTGAAACATTGACAAAAAAGAGCGAAGTTTTTGAATATAGAGTATAAGATTAAATTAGACATTGTACACGTTAGCATACAGCTTAATATTATATATGGCGCTGGATTGTATTTTCATCTTTATAATTGTAAAACGGGTCGGTGGCCCTTGTACGAAATTAACTCTCACTGACTAGATATAAGCTTATGATGATACATATTTAAACTCAACGTGACAAATTCACTTTTCACCCACAACATTGAACACTTAAAATGTGTTCACTGCAATTTCGAGTAGTCAAGTCGATAATCCTTTCGTTAACCCCTTAAACAATCATTACTAAAACAACACCAAACATCAAAGACTACCGCCAGTCGCCTTAACGACCCCATGAAACACTCATGCCGCCCCATGCCACTATTGCAATTAGCCCATGCAGAACAATAATTTACCATCACCCACCAGTTATCTCCCCTTGCGGATATTTCCAAGATTGGAAATTTTTGGAAACATCATCTTTCCAAAATTGGAAAGTCTTGGAAACATCATCTTTCCAAAATTGGAAATGTCTTGGAAACATCATCTTTCCAAGACATTTCCAAGCTTGGAAAGATGGATTTTTTTTTTCCAGTGTAGTGTCCCTCCAGCTGTCGTTGTCACATGTGTTGTCACGTGTCAGATGTGGTCGTACTCTCATCCACTGTTTTGTCAACAACGGTTTTATCAGAAGGTGACACCGTGCTCTCGGTTGCTGATTGCTCGGATGTTTGTTGTCAGGACAAGGTGAGTGAGTTTAGTTTTACGCCGCACTCAGCAATATTCCAGCTATATGGCGGCGGTCTGTAAATAATCGAGTCTGGGTCAGACAATCCAGTGATGAGCATCGATCTGCGCAATTGGGTGCAAGTCAGGTAGTCTGACCATCCGATCCCGTTAGTCGCCTCTTTCGACAAGCATGGGTTACTGAAGGCCAATTCTAACCCGGACCTTCACGGGTGTCAGGAAAAGGTGCATGTACCATTTTGGTTGTGTTACATATGGTTGTTGTGAATCTACACCTCCACTTGCTGAATTCAAGGATCTATCCAACTGCGTATTTGCTATAATTTCGATGCCACTTGTCGCCTTGGTTGTCGACGCCGACACAGACACAGGTTCAGAATCATCAGCTGTGGTTGCTGCAGCAATAACATATATTTACACAACCTGAATTCTCTGTATCTAAAACGACAGTGATGTGAGTTGCTGCAGCAAGTGACACATACGTCTGGTAGAGTGGGGAAAACCAGGTCATACGTTTCATTGCGACTATGTCAACATACATACGCCTTTGTGAGTTAATCAGGTCACGTGTCTTCCAAAAAGAGAGTGAGTGAGTGAGTGAGTGAGTTTGGTTTTACACTGCTTTTAGCAATATTCCAGCAATACCATGGCGGGGGGCAACAGAATTGGGCTTCGCGTGTTGCACTTATGTGGGGAATCGAACAGTGAGCCGAGTGGACGAATATTGGAGTTAGTTGTACGAAGAACATATTATCAAAATTCATGTTCTACAAATTGTACAGTGAGATACCTGTTTTGTAAGAGTAATCTAAAAGCTAATTTACCTAGCTCAATGGTCAACACATATCAACAATAGATCATACCAACAGACATTTTGTATTTTTGTTCCATGAAATGGTGAGAACCAGGCTTTCTGCTGACTTGCTCTACTGATCAACTTCGCACAACACATATGAACGTCTACACGTATGAAAACATAAGCAGAGTCAGTGACCTCTGCCAAGAAACTGACATGTTGGAGCAAGTAGAGTACAACTCGGAGCACATGATATCAATATGTCAACGGTCCGAACACCTACGCTACTCTATTTTGTCACTGGGATATTTCCACTCTTAGGCAAATTTTGTCAATAGCTGGTGCTACCAGCAGAATACATGCTTGCCCTTTCCGTCAACACCTGGTGTCGACAAACATTTTCAGTGTTAAACTCCTTACAACAGACGGAATGTGTTGTGAATATAGTTGATATGGGTATTCTTTTACAATTCTATATCCCATATAAGAACTGACAATGAAAGTGGTAGTGTCTTTTAAATAGAGATTCCCCATGAATTTGATTCTTCATCACCCGTGCTCGTGGATTCCATCAAAGTAAAACCATCAGTAAACTCATACTCGTGACAGTCGAAACACGCACATTCCCGCACATGTGCACATGTATAAAATTATAATTTGTAATAAAATCACATGATAATAATCATAAACATAACACGCACAACATGCATCATTTGAAATACAAAATATTTTTATTACAAAAAACAATAACAAAATATCAAAATATACCAAACGAGATTAAAATTCTAAGGTGTCTTTCCTTGGGGGGATTGTGTGGAATGTGCAGTATCCATTCACCATTATCACATTGTTTGGGACAATCTTTATTGAAAAGTGATCAGTCGGTGAAAGATATGTCACCAAATGGCGACATCCGTTCAATATCGTACATGTATTCGTAAAAATTGTTAAAAATTCAACCGCTGTGTACATTACACCACGAAAACATCCTATAGACATATTGTATAACACCATTAATATGCTTATATGCTAATCCGTCAAGTCAATCAACATTTTTAGAATTAGCTGTAATAGATATTTTGAATATTAAATGATCATCGAAAACCATGGTACGAAACGATACCCCTTGCAAAAAAGTATATGGATGAGGACACTGCATGAAGTATACACGAATGTGTCTTGTTCTGTTTTCTCCAGTTAAACAAACATGCACGTCATCTGAAACTGCCACTCAGCTGGGTCCTGCTGGGTTATCTATCCCTTGATGCTCAGATGCACCGCTACTGTATGACGTGACAACAGGCTGTATGTCTGATAGTGGAACTGCCTGAAAGTACGGTGGGGGATCATCCTTCACGACATCATTGTAAGAAGGAGGTGGTGGAGACATGAACGGCAGAACAGCAGGAGCAGTAGGCGGGGTTTGTGGGTAGCTGGGGACGTTGATGAAGGAGACGGTGCCTTCAGGTGGTCTGTTTCTCTGCTGTTGGACGTTGGGAATGGATTTCTTTCTGAAACAAAGTCCACAGCAACAGCAGGTTGCAATAACCACAGCAGTGATCCCGCCAAATACACCTCCCAGTATGGCTCCGATGTTCGTTGGTGCAGCAGCTAAAAAAGAAAACAAATTAAAACTGAATAAATAATACAGCTAAAGAAAACATAAAAAAGTGTTTTGTAAATATAGCATTCTCTTAGATTTTACTTAATCCCCTAAAATGGCATATAGATATTGTTACAACCCGTCTGTTTTAGTTGCTTCTAAGTAGTGTTTTGAGGCGGAATCCTAAATTTTGGTAAGGTACATATTATTTCAACATTATCGTGCTGTTGTAACTCTACTGCGTTCCATTACAGAGGTAAAGAAAGAGGGATGTCAAACCCTTATTTGTCTGATATTGCCTTGTTGTGGAGACTACAGTAGATGCATAGGGTAGGTCCTTGTGTACAAAATGGGAACCGTTATGTTATAAATTGGACTTACTATACGAATTTACATGTCTGTATGACAATGAGCCAGCGCATTGGTGTTAATTACTAAAAGATCAACTTCACCCTTAACTCACATAGGTCAAAGGACAATTACGATGAAGCGACAATTACACACGCTGAACCTGTGACTTAACAGTCTGCTTGCTTATAGGCTGCTTTGATTGAGAACGATTTGCACGCCACTTTTAGCAATATTCCATCTATATCAAGGTGGGAAACCAGATGTGGGTTTCTCACATTGTGAGGAATGGAACCCGAGTCTTCGGCCTGATGAGTGAATGCTGTAACAACTGGGCTACCCACATGCTCTGAAGCTGTGTCAATCATGTCAGCTTATCAGCTTGATGTGAGACTAACGAGCGTTGGTCCAGAAAAACAAGATACGGGCGAATATACCTCAGTTTGGTCAACCTGACAAGTCGTGCCCTGGTCGTCCACCTCCCTTGTCAACCACACCCTCAACATATTCTTTATCTATGGATACATATGTTATATATATGTCTTACCAACCTGTTATTTTACAAGATCAGTTGTATGCTGTAGCGTTCCCAAATACCGCATGTTTCAGTTAAAGTGTAAACGAACAGAGATGGCTATTGATGTGGGTTATTCTCTTAAACGATGCAATACATTCCTAAATGAACGAATAAAACTGAAACACGTACAATCATATGTTGGTTCGCCGGCAGTAGGACAACTTAAATCCGGAAAGGGAAGTCGAACCATCAGAGTGGAATTTAACCTTCATTGTCTGTCCTGTAGTCTGTGTATTTGGTCCATCTCTTCCACACCATCGACCGATCGAGCTTTCATAACTCGTGACTATTGAGAGAAATCACATGAGAAGATTATGATAATAAAACAAATCATGAGCTAATGTCACAAACGTTTGTTCGGAGATACAATGCTTTAACAGTGAGTGAGTTAATATTTATCGTGACATCGGCAATATCTTAGCCATATTATGACGAGAACCGTTTATAATTACATGTATATTAAAGATCAATAAAGTTATAAATTAAAAAACCTGTTGACGAAGAACAGTAAAACTATTAATGTATCACAGATATCCATTCAAAACTAGTAATTAAATCTAAAACATTGGAACTATAAATGACAATACAATATAAAAACAGGCTATACATTGCCAACGATTGAAGGTAGATCACCATACTAGGGACCATGGGGACTTACAGTACATTCGCTTCCTGCATGGACCCTAGCTGGAGTTACACCATCCCTTCAGTCGTCAGCAATTTAGAAAATCTAGCTATATATTAAAATGACACGTATTCTACGATTAAAAAAGTGGAAAGTTTCATTGCTTTAAGAACTCTTTCAGTTGTTCTTATTTGGGGATGACATTTACTTATTCCAAATGACTATTTTACTGTACTATCTACTGTGACTCAAACGCAATAACATCAACTATAAGTATCGTGAAAAATATAGATGAAATCGGACAGATCACACTGATGAATCCAAATGATGCTGTTAAGCAGGACGTGTGCCTACTGTGCCACGTCAACGTGGACGTCATGTCCGCGTAAATGTCAGCGTCTTAGCTTAAAATTGGAGAAAAACAAGAAGACACACAGGTCGCTGACGTTCTCTACATTAGCGAATCGAACAGAGCTTAAATTCGTTTTAGGCATCTGTCTCCTTTACCCATTTCTAGGATAACAATGATTAAACGCGTTCATTACCATCATAGAGCTGTACATAATCATAGAAACAGCTGCTGTCTTGCTCAATGTTGAAATACACCACGTCCACATGGATTACATATCCGTCAATGGAAGTGCTGATTGTCCACTCACAGTCCGCATTGCTAAAATTGGAATAGACATTAGCATTAGTCATGTGTTCCGCATGTCAGGCATTGCAATTATATATGAACTCATCGTGCTTATGCAACAGGGTTTACTAACTACAAACTTTCAGTTTCCATCCTCGCTGGAATTAAAATTTAACAATCCCCTGATCATAGAATGTCATAGTGTGTATTCCTTCTTCTGGATTGTTGATTCATTTCTCTCTGAGTTAATTTAAAGAAGGACAAAAATATTTGTATGAACAACTTCTGTATTAACAAATAAGTTGTTCATTGTTTTACTATTTACTGCTGCGACTGCAAATCTAACTACAAGTGTCCCATATACTTACTCGGGATAGGACAGAGGATAATTCGGTGATTCAATATATTTTGTCTCATAGCTTATCGTATCATCTTCGCCACACACTGAAACAAGGAAGTATCTCAGTGATATTAAACAGTTCTGTTTCTGTGATGGGCTTCAGACATTTACTCATGTCGGCAATCGTAAATGAAGGCTTACCCCAGGGTATACTTTTTTCTGAAGGAAAACATTTTCCTTTTATACACACATTTACATAAGGGTTTTGTTTTATAGGGTTTTCCCTTCAAATGATTTGAAAATGAATTTTTTTTTTGCAAAATGTATGTTTAAATGCGTTAGTTCATGAAATAAATAGTTGCAATAACAAATTACAAAACGTTGCCAACGAAGGACAATAAAATAACTAGAGGATCACAGATATAGATATAAAACTAGTATGAAAAGCTAAAAACGTTTAACTATAGAAGACATTACAAAATAAAAAACAGGCTATAGATTGCCAACAACTGAAGGAAGATCACCATACTGGGGACCATGGGAACTTACAGTACATTTGCTTCCTGCATGGACCCTAACTGGATTTGCACCATCCCTTCAGCCGTTAGCAATTTACAAAATCTAGCCATACATTAAATATATACGTATTCTACGATTAAAAACGTATCCTCTCAGGAGGACAATACTTTTACAGTACTTTAACCCCCTTTGAGGATACAGCCACTCACAATCGAAGTTACTAATATAAACTTCCAATCATAAAATATTTATCTATTTACAAATCATTCAACAAATCTAATTCTTTTTAAAATGCAATAATTAAATGAGAACTTATATTATTACAAAGATCCTTCATAGTTCGTGATTTGAAATAGTTATCCCCTTATGATGGAATTTCATGAAAGAGGAAACGCGCGAAAACTGATATAGAATTACGCACCTGTCGTCTGCGCAGTGTATTTCAGAGAAAATCCTTTGTCTGTGATAGAACTGTCAGTGCGGAACGTGATGGTCATGGAGTTGCGGGAACTGACGATGTAGCCGGTGACGTCACTACAGTATTTACCCAACCGAGTGGCGTAAGATGAGGAACCTTGAAAAATACAAAGAATCGTTGTGTTGTCGGTTAAAAGAGATACGCATGGTAGAAACACTGAAGCCAACTTCATCCTGAGAATGCTTATCATTGACCAGTGGTAACTGCAAACAAATTCAATTTGAAGAAAAAATTACTAAAAGTATCTTTAAGTCCTTTTGTTAAAAGGAACATTGTACTTACCATCTCTGAAGAGCACGTAGTCTTTAGAACAGGATGGATCGTGTTCCATAGAAATAGTCTGAGCTTCAACCTTTACTTTATATCCAGCAGGTGCAGATATTGTCCACTCGCAGTACATATTGCTGTGAAGAAACAGATGAAAAGATTATAAGAAATATAACACTGGACAGCAAGTCAATTAGGTTACAAAACAACATGCAAAACATTGCTGCATGAACATAGGTTTCAGCAGTTCCAAGATGCTTTTGTCCCAACCACTCTCAATCAATATAAGCTTTGTTCTTCCTGATAATTATCTATAATCCCAACACACTGAAATTGGCAAGACTCAAAACATAAAGCCTTGCAACGTTCCTCACAAGGGAAGGTGATAAAGAATATCAATTCTGATGTGTAAGGATATGTGCATTGTAATGTCTTCATGTAAGAAAATCCTCAAAATGTTTCAAAGTCTGGATCATCTGAAGTGATCAAAGATTAAGTGATTCCTGGGAGAGTGATTGTGAAGATGCAGGGTCATGACAGAGCTTTTTTCGGATCGAAGGAGTCACTGAATTAACTTGCAAGTAGTCAAAACGGGTTATCAACAAAGATGATGTATACATCTACTTACTTATTGTAGTTGTAGTATGGGTACCCAGGGGATGACAAAGACCTCCAGGAGTATTTGCTGGCGCTGAGCAATGAACTACCGCAATTAGAAACATGCGGTCTCTCTGTTTAAATAAAGAATGGAAGCAATGGATATTTAAGTCACAATAGTGTTGACATTGGGTAAGTGCTTTCAGAGTTATAAACGGAAGAGTAGGTTGTAGCAGAAAAGGCAAATAACCGCATATAGTATGTTAATTTATACAGTATTGCAGAAATAGACAGGAAAGCTCATACAAGATACATTTTGATTGAAGATCAATACATTTTCTTTTGTAGACACCTATATAACAGTGTGTCCTGTCTATTCATACATTAATAAAGTGTGTAACATGTGATTTTCCCATAATTGCCTGAACAAGGGATCAAGTAAATATAATGTCTCTATTGTCAATGCCATCCCCAAGCAACATTGAATACCCGCTACCACTAATGGCAGTTCCACAGTCCCAGCCCCAGCCCCAGTTCCCCACACATTCCAATCTATGTACACACAACTGGTTGACCACAAAAACACAATTATTGTACCTGTGGTTGTTGTTGTTGTTGATGGGAATATTCCAGCTTTGTACTTCAGATTATAACCTTGTCGCGTGGTAGAGCCATCGGTGTGGAAGGCGATGGTGATGTAGTTGATGGAGCTGACAAGCTGTTTGCTGTAGTAAACACCGCAATATTTACCCAACTGAGGTGACCAAGATGATGAACCTTGAGAAAAGATACTTACTAAGTTAGTGGCATTGGTTCTGACGCATATACATAAGCATGCTAGTATTCAAATGAAGCTGATGCTAATAGAACGTATTTAGAGTAACTGTGATAAAATACATTATGCACCTATCTTCACCCATCAAGTCCAAAGTTCTTACAAATAACAAAACCAATTGTATAGAGAACCGCTTAATGTGATCCAATGGTCGTTCACATATTTTTGGATTCATGATCAAACTAAGTAATTTATGAATTGTCTCAAAAGTAACCGATACAGCACAAAGCGCACTACGAGAATTTTGTTCTGAGGAACCTCTATACATTTGTACCATGTACTTACCGTCCTTGAAGACAAGATAGTCCCTCGAACAAGATGAGGAATATTCCAACGACAAATATATAATTTCAACTTTAATTTCATATCCATACGGTGCTCTAATTTTCCACTCGCAGTGTACATTGCTGAAAACAGAATTTGTATACATAAATTGGTATTATGCAAACGTATATAAACAAGTAAATTGTTCAAGTGTATAGTCTTGAAATGTACAAAGTGTAGTGTTTATATGAAAAAAACCCCATTCAAATACTTTTCAGTTCATCAAAACATATCATACAACTATACATGTGATAAGTTACCTGCAAGTCATTGGCGTAGTCACACTTACTTGTCCCGTGTTTAGTGCTAGTTTCAAAGTCACGTTTACAGTGCTAAATCGTTGACACGTGTGGAGTGCTGCATACCGGTCACGCGTGTAGTGCTATTTACCACATGTTATTTGCTAATATTTACTAACTGGTTAACCTTTATTCACTTGACAAGAGAGTAGGCACCTACTTGTAATAGTTCGAAGGATAGCCAGGAGAAGTCAAGTACTTCCACGTGACAGAAGATGCGGAGAGATCTGATAATCCACAGTCGAAAGCTGTAACAGCATGAAGCCAAACGAGTGAACTAATGAACATAATAAAACATAATACACTTGACGATTTGTGATAACCAAGAGTGACTGGATGACATGAATATCATCACACTTTAGGGTTCATGGAGTATATTCAGGTGGAAACAGTTATTCGCCTGGATGCTCGAAAGTTTTAAGTGAAAAGTTCCTCTGAAGAGGTAAAAGCAGACAAAAGTTTCTCACACAATGGGTCTCTGTGGTCCTGAGGAAATTATGTTATTCTGCTTATCAGGAAAGTATATTTTTCCAATGAAGACAAGAACTAAACTTTATTATAAGTTAAAGAATGTTCCTGAAATTATTACCAGATGAGTACTGCAAACGAAAACCTCCTCCTGTGACAGCATGGTCTGAGTGAAACATGATGGTCATGTGGTTACTGGAGCTGACGATGGGAGTAGACCTACTATCACAAATCTTTGCCAGTTGGCGAGCATCGTTTGCTGAACCTAAAACGTAAATGTATTAATTGTGCATCTTTCATCAATAAATGAATGCAGTTTCATTTACATTTATTTGATGTCTTCAGTATAGAAGCAAACAACATTCTTTTCAATATGAAAATTATTCGTTACCAAGGTTCGATTCAACACTAACGGTAAATAAATACTAACGATATACGCAGGGAACAGTATTGTTCTTCAAGGCAGCCGTATGTTCGGAACATTAAAAATTGGCACAGTAATGATTACTGTTAGAAATACAACTCTTTGTCATACACTACACCATCGTTATAGTTGATAACAAGAACCTTACCGATTACTTGATTTAAATAATAATTATTGCAATAGAAGATATATTTTTCTTTTCAGTGGTGAGGTTTTCATATTTTCATATCGTTTGCTCAAATGAAATGTCCGTATAGGAAGTCCTACTGAGAATGCAGGTGCATGTGATGTGTCTAAGAGCAATTCACTTGACTGGGAAATAAGGTAGGATTGTGACAATGAGGTTGTGTTGTGACAACAAGGCTGTTTTGTGACAATAAGGCTGTGTGGTGACAATACTGATCCCTGAAAAAGTTATTGCTTGGTCGATTGCTCATATTGTAGCCGCCGGGAATCTGGGACATTATCTTCAGCAACCCATGCTTGCCATAAAAGGCGATTATGCTTGTGATAAGAGGCGACTAACGGGATCGGGTGGTTAGACTCGCTGACTTGGTTGACACATATCATCGGTTCCCAATTGCGCAGATCGATGCTAATGCTGTTGATCACTGGATTGTCTGGTCAAGACTCGATTATTTACAGACCGCCGCCATATAGCTCTAATATTGCTGAGTGAGGCGTTAAACTAAACTCACTCACTCACTCACTACAATTAGGGATGATACGCTATCCCTCTGTTACTATCAAGTTGGGTGATTGCTTATCACCATACACGACAGGTGCAGACAATATTGATCCCTGAAGTAGTTATATTTCCTGGTTGATCTAGGACATTATCGAGTGCAATACTGTCTCAGTCAGGCACACTCATAGGTAACATGTCATGAGATAATCTTCCGATCTCAGTGAAACCCATATTCGGGAAGATACATTTCAATTAAGTTCTTACAACATGTCAAAAATATATATCCCAAACAAGAAACGTATGGTCTATTTTCACAAATTCTGCTACCTTTAAAGTGAAATAGCACATGCAATCATACTCAAGAATAGTGGACATAGACAAGGTACGTCAAATTTTTGGAAACGCATGTAAAATATCTCGATTCAACAACAATTCAAGGGACGTAACTCGTGCTAGTTTTACCTCACTTCAGCTGCTTCAGCCAAATATTTTATGGATGCTTTTTCAAAATTCAGTTTCTCATTCAGTAATAACATAAATGTAATAGGAGGACTGACTGACTGACTGAGTTTGGTTTTACGCCGCTTTTAGGAATATTCCAGCAACATCACGGCGGGGGACACGAGAAATGTGTAATAGGAGGAGACATATATATTTATTACACAGACATTTCATCAAGTTTCAAAATAGTGACAAATAACTGGACAGACAATTCCCATGTAAGGAAAAAGGCAATAATTTTTTCAGGTTTTAGGTTTAGTTTCACGCCGCAGTCAGCAATATTCAATCTATATGGCGGCCTTCAAATACATGTTGCGTTTTTCACTTAATGGTTGAACGAAGTTGGTGCCATTTACCTATTCTTTGCCATTTTTAACAAAACATCTCGTTTCGTTGCCTTTGTTTTGCACCCTTTGGACTCTAAGTAGTCCCTCAATTCAGTTACACTGGCCTGATTGACATCAAGCTGAGGCAAGGCTACATTTTCCATTTCGTCCCTTATGGCCTGTCATTTCGATTTTCTCATAGCAGACAGATCCTCTTCCCAGAATTGTAGTTTGCGTTTTGTGTATGTCCTTTTCTCCCTCACATGGTGTTGGTTCCTTTCCATGCGTTTTCTTATCTTCAGTTGCGTCAGTTGCTGCATCCCATTTATTGGATTTTCTCTGATGAATGCTCTTTATGTCATCATTCATCTTTTCAATACCCTGACAACTAAACTGACGCAGGGGTCCAAATTTGGCATACATGACAGGTGCATGGTTAACGAGACAATGAATATAAGGAGTTCAATGGCTTTGCAATATCCCATCTCCTTTTCCCCCAAAGACAAGAACCGGTTTAGCCATGCCTTAGTTGAAAATAGCCTCCCCGGTTACCCCTTTCCCACTATAGACAAAATCATGGAACACCTCTCTGAAACCTGTCCAAATTGATGTGATGGTTTCGACCGTAGGAGTGGGTAAAACATCTTCGGGTTTAAAGAGTCTGGATGACTTGCAGCCAATTTTCACAGTTTAAAAGCTCAAATATATGTTAACATGCATAGCATTCAGTGAAGGTGTCTGTTCCTAATGGGGTGTTGTCTTTAATATCTCTTGTGACCACCAAGAGCCCCAAAAACTGCTCTGCGCTGTCTCGGCATGGAGTGATTAAGTCTTTGAATTCGACCTTGTGGAACTTTGACCCAATCTGTCCATGCAGGTAGCAACAGTACTGTGGTCCCTATGGTCCCTTGTATGGTGATCTACCGTTAGTTGTTGGGCGATCTATAGCCTGTTTTTATGTTGTCTTGTCATATATAGTAAAAATGTTTCAGATCACACTACTAGTTTTATATTTATAACTTTGATATCCTAGTTGTTTAAATGTCCTTCGTTGACAGTTATTTTTAAAATTTACCTTTAATTATTATCATTTTATACGTTAATTTAGTCACGATATGGCTGAAATATTGCCGAAGTGACTTTAAATTGTATCTCACTCATTCACTGACCCAATCCTCTTGCGATGCCTGCGACAATAGATCTAACGTCTGGAGCGCCGGTTGACGTTCACGCACGCATCGGCCGAGGTCACGCCACAAATGCTCGATGGGGTTGTGGTCGTGATATTTGGAAGACCATGGAAACACTGTAATGTTCTCATTCTGAAGATACTAACTAATGGCATGTGCTGTATGAGACCTGGCATTTACTCACTGGAACAGCCATGTGAATCCTTAAGAAATCGCCTCTGTATCGAAAATGATTTAAATTGCCAAGATGGCGCACAAAGTTAGATTTCTGCGTGTCGGATATGGTATCCGACTTCAAGACACTCCCTGCACCATGTCGGTAAACCAAAGTGTCACAATTCTGGGTAAAACGTTCATTTTGACGTCAATCACGTCACTGAAGCAGAAAATGCCACTGAACAATACACGTCACAATCAAACGTTACTGTACCACTGGACGCGTCGATGTCGATGTATGGTGATCTACCTTCAGTTTTTGGCAATCTATAGCCTGTTTTTATATTGTATTGTCATGCATAGTTAACATTTTTAGATTTACTTATATCTGCGATAATTTAGTTCTTCGTAGAAAGCATATTGTAATTTATCTTTAATTATTAATATATCTATAACTTGATTTAGTCGCGATATCTCTGAAATACTGCCGATGTTACTGATAATCTTAACTCACCCACTCACTAAAAATACCAATGACCGTGTAAAAGCAGAACAGTCTTATATAGGTCATCTCCCTGCTCACTATTCCAGTAAACGGCACGTGCATACCACTCTTCATCCATGCCATTTTAAGCAAGTTGAACGTAGACATGCATTAATGTTTTTGAAGATGAGAATGCGCTGTGCATCCGTTTCACAGAATTACAAGGGCGAAATCATAACAATCAATAAGTAATTTTGAAAAAAACATGTTTGAAATTTCATATAAGATTAGTATCAATGTGTGGCATTTTTTGGTGAGTATAGGTAAATAGTGATCATTAATATTATCTTGATTATATTCTTTTTCTCCTTGGTACCACACGGATGTCACAGAACTTAAGCTACAACTGTTTTGCTCAATTCTAAGAGGAACACAACGTTAACATGCGTCCCAAGCTTTACTTACCATCCTTAAACAGTAGATAATCATCCACGCACGATGCCACCTTTTCCAAATCAAGAAACAAAACTTTCACCGTTATATTGCTTCCTATCGGTGCATTTAGAGTCCACTGACAGTCCAATCCACTGCAAGGAAGAAGAAAAAAAATGTTCCGAAACAAAAACACAAGCCTCATCCATATTGGTTACACGTGATACAAGCATATTTACATTTGGTGACATTATTATCAAGGCGAAGAGTATCTATCTACATGTGTAAACATCTTTTGATCTGGCGAATTATATCCAAGTAAACGGGTTTTGAACCATGCATTCATTTACATCATATTATTGTAACTCTTTACTTACTTTACGTAGTTGCTTGGATAGCCAGGGGAGACAATCACCATTGGACTGTAACCTGCGGAAAGCGTGACGCTGCACGTTGTTGCTGATAATGAAGAAGAGTAGCAAATGTACAATTTTTGTTTGTTTTTGTTGTTGTAACAAGGATTCGGCGTTCCTGTGCGCGTGTGTGTTCGTGCGTTCGCTCGTGCTTTTGTGTGTGTGGCTGGTTGTCAAGGATGAAGGGGTGGGGGATTCGGTCTTTGTGGTAGTTTGTTTGTTATGGACCCAGACATTTTTCACAAACAATGTTTAAACTCTCCAGGGGCGTATCTGATAAATACTAAAGAAATCAAGGTTTTATTAGTATAATGTTTACTAGTATAATCTACCATGCGAAAAAATAGCGAAAACGGTTTTGGGCTGACCGGCTGGGACATTACTGTGAGCCAATGTTGACATTAGTTAAAATTGGTGTCAACAGTAGTCATAAAACATATGTTTCTTGAATTATTGGCTTATTCTAAAGATAATGTGTCCTCACTTCACCATTTTGTCCAGAGAGATCTGTTACCGAAACTTCATAATAAATACATTTTACTAATCCCGTTTACAGTTTTACAAATAGATTCATACAGAAATATTATATCCAAAATATATGTCTAAATTGAGAGCTAATGTTATCATAATTGGCAAACATAGTTGTTACGCAAAACGAATCAAGGCATCAATGACAAAGACATAGATCTGTTATTGCTTAACTGAATGCACAAACTAACGCAGTATTGATATATTTAGAGACTAATAACGCTGAGAGTTTGGAGCTGCCGTCATGCCTCATCACGTCTTTCGAAAGACATGTTCATGACACATTTGTCAACACAACTAAGATGTATGAAATAACATGTAGTAAGTGACTGTGATTTTATTGTTTTGTGCCTTGGTTTGGTCAGTTGAACAGCAGTTTTACAGTTGACAACTGTGTGTTTATTTGTAAAATTACTATATTTCACCATCAGATCAGAACATTAATTAATTATTATCTAACCGGGTAGCTGTAGTTTTAGGTTCAATCTGAGTGCTTAATGCATACACACCCGGTATAGCTTTGTATAGCATTTTGAATCCTTTGTAGACTTGCGAGGAATCAGTTCGTAGACGAACACTCAAGGCGTTCCCACCACTGTTAAAAACAGGTCTTTCGTTGCCACAGAAGGTGCCGAGGTGGTAGGAACCTGTAATGGAACATTATATTATTAACAATGTCAAAAGTGTTGATTCTCCTAACTTTGAATAGCATCATTCAAAACTGCCGGAGGCTAACAACCATGCGTTGTGCAAACTTGACGTCAGCAGGCTAGTAAGCATTAGTAAAATGTTTTCTTGTGAATGAGTATTTGGATTTGAACCAACGAGTGGAACGAGTGTGTTGGAAAGGTCGAAGAAACAGAGAGTAGCTGTTGTTGCTCGAATTCCATGAAATTTGTTAGGAGCATGATATAGAGGAGAACAATGACCAACATTGTTAACGTTGCAATTCCAGACACCCAGTATCTCTTTTAATCGTTCAGGAACACACTCGATATGCCACTTGAGGGAAAATGACATATGGAGAGGTATTCTTTCGAAAAACAATTTTGAACCACGGACCTCCGACACAGGTTCAGTCCAGCAACCCTTACAGCTCGTAGCATACCTGATAACAGGCGTGTGTTCGCCTCTACAACATCCGTGCAAGCTGACGCCAGGATATCGACACCGACGTCTAAGTTACAGCAGACAACACTTAGGGAAGGGAGTGCGTGTAGGAAGGCTGTGTACACCGATGAGTTTATTTACTTCTTCACCGAGTTTACAACAGGCCCTGTGAACGTTACATTAGACCTTGTGTTCGAGAAAGGATTTGTTTTGGAGGTCAAGACGTTATTGTATCAAGACGAGATTTTGTAAATGACCTCTGTATCGCTTTTACAACAGAACAGAGATGGCGTGCTGTTTCAACACGATAACAACAGACCACCCGTTTCCGGAGTTTACAGCAGTTTCTTAGTCAGAGCAATCTTTATGTGTTACCCTGGCCAACAAGATCCCCTGATGTGTCACCCACTGAACACGTCAGGGATGAAATAGAGGTACGTTTACGAAGTCATGCGAATCCCCAAAAAGCATATCGACACTCCGCCAAATTCCTCCTCTGAGATGAGATAATCTTCCCTTTTATCGACGCATTATGGCCTCAGTGAAATGAAGATGCCAGGTCAGCATTAATGCACCTGATGGACGCACTTGATAATTACCATCTGATTACCTCTTGTGTTGAAACTCAATTCTAAAAACCAAATTCTTATGGACTGTTGATCATTACCATAGCTTGGAACATTTGTCTTTCTTGGCAGCTTAAAGTTGAAAAGGAGAACTGACTAAGTACAATGTGCACGTCTCTACTTACCGTATTGACCGTTATATACAGTGACATAATCATTGTTGCAAGTTCCACGAGATGAGAGGTTCTGAAGTACCGAGTCCATGGTGTACAATTGAATGGTTTGGTTTTGATGTTCTGCTGTAATAGTCCAAATACATGTCTGCCTCCTGCAAACAGACGCATTTATTTTGAAGTGCTATACAAATTATCCAAATAAGGTTGCCGAATGGTTCGAAACATTCTCACATACAAACGGATGGCTGTGTACAAATGTGTACGCATGACTAGGCGTGAAGTAAATATTGTTGAAAGCTTAATAATACATCCAACACACCCTCTCTCTTGATGTATTTAACATTAAACACTGGGTAACAAATACAAGAAACTCTAGTACTGTTTGTAGCTGATAGAGTAATTAGGCTACTCACTGGAAGTAGGTGTTTGGGTATCCAGGCGAGGTAAATGTCTTGCCGACAGAAGTTGCTACGAGAGGTACACCGCACATTTCGGTACCTGGTTATGACAAGGGAACAATTTGTACCAGCCGTATAATTCATGAGATCAGCATGGGCAACTTTGTATTTTTTATTTATTTTGAAAGATTCAACGATGCCATGTAAGAATCCTGCATGATGAAATTCGTTAAGCCAGCGCTAGCGAATCTACGTTATTATACGAAAGAAACACACAATCATTGCAATATCTGCACCGTTTTGATCAATGTTTTAGAGATGTGCACAAGATGATCATTTTGGCTTTCCGAAGTGGTTCGGATGTTTTGATTAAAACCAGTCTTTACTGATCCCTGATTTTGACTATTCAAGCAACTGAAAACATTAGACTCAATTTCATATACATGACCACACCTACTATTACCTTTGGTTCAAGCCCATAGAATTATCTTGTAAAAGATGAAATGGAGAAAAACAACCAGGTTTTTAATTATAGCTTTAACGGTACATGCAGTAAAGATTTTAGACTACTGCTGCATAGCCAGGGTCGTGACTTTACTAACCATTTTTCTCATAGTATCTGATTAGAAAACCACTTCTGGTTCCCCTGGCATCAGTCGTGAACACTGCATGGATATGTTGGTCGTCTTCGATGAGAATATTCCATCTGCTTTTGCCACAGATTTTACGCGAAGAGGCTTCACTTTGATTACCTGGGTGGACAAAATGTCAGGAACAATTTGGTAAAAATATGAAATGTATTTCGGTTTTAGTAATCTAGTTTGTATATTACTTCAGCGTTCACAAACTTTCACTAATTTTCCTTCCTTGATGCGCCACAGTGATCACATGAGTTTTTTTCTGGATAAGAAATCAATAATGTGAAAAAATATGATAATATCATTATATTAAATAAGTAATTTATATAGAACAGAGGTTTTCAGTGTAACACGACTATTTTACCATTATTTATGACGTCTATTGTAAGGACGTCATGAGTACAGGTGAAGTAGCTATAGTATTCGATGTTGGAAAACACCATTTCGAGCACAACCCTGTAGCCGCTTGTTTCAGGGTAGATGTCCCAATAACAGTTTTCATGGCTGTAAAATAATGTTATTTGGAACTGAAGCAACATGGCATGTGTAAATCTGAACATATAAACATTTACATCAAATATCAGTTGATTACATTAATTCTGTAGTGCTTACATATAAAGGATAAAGATATTACAATAACAATTCATCAATAGTTATGAATGCTTGGACTATGAGCACTAATTCTGGTGAACAGATGATGTATGAAATAAACAGGTATGTCTCTACATACTTTCCGTAGTTACCCGGGTAGTTAGGCGATGTGAAATTCAGCGGTTCCCTCTGTGCATGGAGCGTGACATTGCACGCACCTGTAAAGACACGTTCATTGTATTACATGCTTGTACATGGCTTCTCTTCATAACCTTTAAACAATGAATAGTATAACTTAGGGACAATGAAGGTTTAGAAACTGGTCAATGTTTACTGGGGTAAGGAAATTGCTGACATGGTATTGCATGTCTTGCAGATTTACACAAACACACCATCCTTACATTCTATTGACAAGTTAATATCATCTTAGAAAACATCCTGGCAAATAGTTCATAAATGGACAAGATAGTGGGCTATTATTCCATACAAAGGAAGGTCATGTGTGGAATATTTTACAGAGTTCGAACAACGTTGTCTTCATATTCAGGACCCATACATGTCGACAGTTATTATTGCATGGAAATAATTTCATATGCTTCGTAAATTGTGAATATGAATATCAGTTGTAATTGGTCAGCTTTCCCAAGGATCGTTGTGGCATAAATCATACCATACTGATCTATTTGTTTTATGCAAAGAAAAAGAAAATACAAATGTTCGCCGTTGTCAGCCATGCAAAATGTCATGTTCGTGAGTTCTTGGAAAGTTCATAAAACCATAACCGTCTGGGCTAGACTGACTGAGTTTGGTTTTACGCCGCTTTTAGCAATATTCCAGCAACATCACGGCGGGGGACACCAGAAATGGGCTTCACACATTGTACCCATGTGGGGATTCGAACCCGGGTCTTCGGCTTGACGAGCCAACGCTTTAACCATTAGGCTACCCCACCGCCCCGTCTGGGCTAGAAGCAACACCTGATTAAAGATGGTATTGCCATACACAAAGCCGGGATAGACGCTGACAATAAATGGCTGGGATTGAAACCCTGCGTTGTTATTTGTTTTCCAAGGACATACACCGTCCAGCTCACATAGCAACACACAAGAACCGAAGTACACCCTGAGCCGGAGCTCATTGTTCAGGCCGTCTTTACCAAGTCAAATAATATTTGGCTAGATAAAGCCTAAAATAACTAAACCGGTTCGCATAAAAATTAAACAAATGAAGCACTGTAATATATTCTAATGTTTTGTGTGCAGAATTGTTGAATCTGTGTACTATTGTCATCAGTCAGCACACAGTGTAAGTAGCTTTTCTCACAGTCATTCATAAGAACACCGTTTACATTTCTCTTTTTCTTTGTATCTAAAGGTTATTGGTGTTGAAATAGACGTCGTTGGCTTTCATACGAATCATATACGAGGAATCGAATACGAAACGTCCAAGTCAAAAACTTATAAAAACGATGATTTTGGCACATCGTGGTTAAGTTCACTAGCAGTAGGATCAGTAGAGACATCTTATGTCGTGCCAGGGTTAGCCTGAAGCACCCCCCATCAAGATGAATGAATATTACAGCTTTACGGTGAGACATAAAAGGAGCGTGAGTGAGTTAAAATTGATAGTCACACTGGCAATATTTCAGCCATATCGTGACTTCAAAAGTTATATATCCACAAGAAAAGTATAAAAACCTGTCAACGAAGGACAGTAAAAACTAGATTATCACAGATAGAGAATTAAAAGTAGTATGTAACTGTAAAATTAAATAAACTGTGATGGACAATACAATAAAAAAACGGACTGGAGATCACCAGCAACAGGAGGTAGGAGTGAGTTAGTGAGTTAATATTTAGCGTCACAGCCATATAGTAACGAGAAAAATTAATTTTATACCAATATTAAAATCAATAATTTTAAAACGTAAAAACCTGTCATCGAAGGACAGTGAAAGTACTGGACTGTCACAGATATCTATTTAAAACTAGTACGCTATCATAAAAATACATAAGTAGAGACAACAATACAGTATAAAAAAAGGGCTATAGATCACCAACAACTGAAGGCTGATCACCATGCTAGGGACCATTAAAACTTACAGTACCTTTACTACCTACATGGACCCTAGCTGGTTTTACACCATCCCTTCAGCCACTGGTGATGGGAGACAAACATAGCCATAAGTTAAAAACACACATATTCTACGATGAAAAAAGCGGACAGTTTAAAGTCACTTTGAATGTATTAGGACTTTCGTACCCTAGACATAAGAAGAAGCAATTTATTCCAAATGTACTTGATGCCAGGATACACATCAAATACGTTCGTTGGAAATCCACTATATTTCAAAGCAGGACATCATTCTCTTCTTGTAGCAAAATCAGTGACACAATTATTTTGAACAATCAATTGTTAAACCTAGGGAAAAAACCTCCACTTTTTCAGATGAAATGGACTTGGATTTATCTGAGCATGATTCACGTTGTAGCATTTGCATTGTAGAACTACCTGATGAACGTAATCGAGGCATACCCATTCTGGAAGTTAGAGATACAGTATATTTTGTCTTTGATATAATGAAGCTGCGGTTTGCAATGATATGCCATCTGAATTACTTTAACATTCTTCAACAAGACTACCCCAGACATTACTGAATCTGTTGAAACACTTTAATCTTCCAGATTGTTACGACGTAAATTGTAATAAGAACGCAAATTGTAATACTTGCAGCAAATTGTAATAAACTTGACGTAAATTGTAATAAAAACGTAAATTGTAATAAAAATTGACGTAAATTGTAACACGCAAATTATAATAAAATTGACGTAAATTGTAATAATGTTCGTTGCGGTAAAATGTAATAAATATTTACGTAAACTTGTAATAACAGTTGTAATCACTCGTAAATACGCGGGTGTTTGTTTTTCGTTGCATTTCATACATCAAATAGGCTTGTTAGGGCCATAACTCAAGAAAGAAATGATGGATTTTGTTCAAATTTGGTACCAAGGTATATTCTCGAGATTCACCGACACAAGTGAAATGGAGTGACCTGAGATAATTTTCAAGGTCACAGCAAAATCTGAGGGTTTTGCCAATATAAAGATTGTTAGCGCGATAACCAAAGAATGAACTGACAAATCTTAGCCAAATGACGAAAATGATATTCGTCCTGATGTATAATCCAATAAAAATCTCCTACTGTCCTCTGTATCACGTCTTTTCGCAAATATCTTCTGAGGTTTTGATATGTATAAATATAAAGTGGGGTTGGGTGGGGTGGGGTGGGTTTCTAACGGGTATATATCAAATCAAATCAAATCAAATTATACATTTGTATAGCTCTACATATCCAGATTCCTGCTCATGTGCACTTAGTCGAATGCTCGTTTGAAGAGGATGGTTTTGCGACAAGATCGGAAACTGTTGATATTTTCCGATTTTCTGACATTTTCAGGTTATCAATTCCAGAGTACAGCACCCGGTCTGCTAAATGATCTGTCTCCGTATGTTGTGGTTTGGACAAATGGAATAGCCTAGGTGACTAGCTATGAAATGCATACATATTATTAAACTGCACAAAAAGGCAATTTGAAACTACAATCGCTTGTTCAAATGTTATATATGCTTGCCTTACAACGATCTGTGTTACGACGTAAATTGTAATAAAAACGCAAATTGTAATACTTGCAAGGCAAGCATATATAACTTTTCTTAATAGGTGGAGCACTATTCACGTACAAGGCCGCGAATCGGCTGAGGATCTTGGGGGGTCCGGGCATACTCCCCGGGAATATTTTAAAATAAGATGCTCTCAGATGCAATTAACTGCTTTCTGCAGGTAAAATGACTGCATTTATCTAATTTCCAATTGTGTATAAATATTATTTTTTCATGCTCAAAATTGTAGCATCTGTACATGATGTACTGAACTAAAGTTTATAAATATGTTTAGACATATCTGTTTATATGCAAAACAACTGTTTTGTTCAGTTTAAATATAAAGTTGTATACATTAAACTAGTTGACAGTCCAGAAATTCATTAATTTACATCATGCAAGTTTGATTAGTCGACAGATAACCTTGCACAGTTTATGAAATTTACATCAATATATATATCTTCAGGTTTGTTCAATATTACTCACTCACTCAGTTTACAAGATACGTCAGTCAGAAAGATTGCTTTATTTACGATGAAACCGTGAAATTGAGACATTTACAGTTGCAAGGGAATATCAAACATGATTTTGACTCCATTATACACTTTTAGCTGTATTTGAATTTCCTCCAGCCTGTCCACAGCTTGAGACTTTCACAAGCCACACTGCCCACTAGTATGCTCATGAACACTTATGGCGATGAGGGAATGATTTATGACATGGCATCGGTTCATAGTTCATATAAGTCGATAGTTTATGTAATTTTATTTGTTTAAAGTTTCACCAATCAATGTCTCTTTGTTTATTGTGTATTGTTTTGTTAGTTATTCCTTCTTTTGTCTATCCTGTCTTTTGAAGTCCTTTGGATTGAATGCACTCCTTTTTCTAATTAAGGCTTTTGTTCGTTAATTATCAATAGGTATTGCACAATATGCCTTCATTTTATAGGGTTCCGGGTAGTCAAGCTATGTCATTGCCCTGGACTCCTTGTTTTATGTATTATAGGTTGTTGTAATCATATGTGATTAGGTGTATCATTCTGGTACCGATCCTCTGTCAGATGGGCTGCCCGCAATATTTGCGTCATTAATTGAGGTGTTGATTTCAGGGGTGCGGTGAGGGTATGACACTCAACAGAGTGTTATATCAATACTTTGATGTACAAAATAATCTGTAAAACATTTCTAGGGGGGTGTGTGGGTGTGTGGGGTGTGTGGGTGTGGGGTGTGGGGGTGGGCTGGGCCCATGGGCTACCTACGGCCCTATCTCCCATTGGAGTTTCCACGGGTGGTCGACAGGAACGCTGACGGTGCATAAGTCAATAGTTTTCTGATGTTCTGGCCATTTGGCTGATAGTCGATGGATGACAACCAACATTCTGTATATCCCAAGCGTGACGTGTCTCACCAGTTTGCTAATCATAAACGTAATCACTTAATTGTCCAATTTATTGAGCTGCAAAAGCAGTTTACTGAAACGTGATGCTCAATACGGAAACTTATTGGCGATTTATTGTCCATTTTTATACTGTATTGTTTTCCCCTATAGTTATAAC